TTTTTTTTTTTTTTTTTTTTTTTTTTTTTTTTTTTTTTTTTTTTTTTTTTTTTTTTTTTTTTGTAATAAAAGTCCTTTCACATTCCAATATCTAATTTTATAATTCCTATTTACAATTTGCTCTTTCTTTATACTTACTTTTGCTTCCACTAACCTAATAATAAAAATAAAAAAAAATCATTATTCGATATATGAACTTCGAATTCATACGCTAATATTTTTCGACGATAGGTCGAGATAAAAAATTTATAGTTCCTCAAATAAATTTTGGTATTAATATTCATCTTCTTCAATTAGATATACATATTTTGAAACCAACATTATTATTAATTGAGTATTTCAAGATTGCATTAAAATGTGTAAAAAAAACTATTCATTTATCTAAAATATATTAAATAAATAAAATCTTTTACCTACCCTTAGACATCTCCAACTATATTAATCAATATGTTATTTTACTTCATATTTCTACGGCTAAAATAAATATTTGAAAGTTTAGAGACCATGACATGGTATCAAGATAATTTGTTATTTGTTTAAACTAAGTTATCTTATTTTGAGTTCAACATACACTCGAGCATTTAATAGTTTAGATTATAATATAACGCGTTAATTAATTAGGTATGTTTTTGTGGTCTCATAGTCTTGAATTTGAAAGAAAAAAAGAATAAAAAAAGAAGAGAAAAAGATGAATTTTAGTTGGAACAAAAGACGAAAGTAGTCAAAAAGAAACGAAGGAAAATAGAGAAAGTTGGTGGGAAAGAGGGGCAAGCGGGTAGTTGACCGGACTGCCCATTCCATTCCGTCGAACCGCTTTGGTCGCTTCTTTCCCAATTGTTTTTATTAATAATCTTTTTGGAATTCTTTTTTCACACTTTCAATATAATATTTTCTACTTTTTACCAACATTTTCCATCTTCACTTTATTTTAGTTATTATTATTTTCTTTTTATAAATTTTAATTGTTTCGCTTTTGTTAATTTAATTCATAAGGATAAACATTTAATTCAACTAAATATATATTTTAATGTCATGCGTGGGATATATATTTTAATGTATAACTGTGGAAAGGATGAAGAAAGAAAAGTCGTTAAACCCTAAACCCTAAACCAATGAAAGAACCGACAGACTACAAAGTATGTAGGGACAAGGAAACCCAGTCTTTGAAATCTGTGGTTCAAGTTGAACTTCATGTTCTAAAGACCAAGATGATCTACACTACTGTCCATGGTTGGTTTGACTTCAGTATTTACCTGAGAGAGAGAGAGTGAAAGATGTAGTCTTTTAGTTGGAATAGAAAACCCAGCAAGAACAAGGACGCTAGAACTCAGATCAGGCAGGAATTACTGAAGGCCAACACTCTACCACTCTCATCCTCTATTCCATTCAAGCTCATGCGATGTCCCGTATTAGTTGGAAAGGAGAACAAACCACCATTTATAAAGGTGTAAAAACATTCCCTTAACAGACGTGTTTTAAAGCCTTGAGAGGAAGCCCGATAGAGAAAGCCCGATGAGAACGATATCTGCTAGCGGTGGATTTAGGTCGTTACACATGCTCTCACATTCTAACTCCTACTACTTCAGGATCAATTCATTCATTCAAAACTTCCATGGATCTCAAATTTTGCTTATTGAATTCCTTAAGCTGAATCAGCTGTTATGGAAAACTTGATGCCTCATGGTCTCTGGTTGATATTTGTACTTTGTGTAATATATTACCTTTGTAATCGTTACAGATATTGTTTCTTTGGGATCTCACAATCCACCCCCTCCGAGGCCCGGCTTTGGGATCTCACAGCCTTCCAACACTATTTCAAAACTACCCAAGAATAGAAATTATTTAGAATTTCAAATGGAAATTCCATTTGGAGACTGAATTGTGTGGCTATAACCTGGAACAAAAATTTGGATAGGATAGCTATCAACTCTAAGCAAGGTCCCAATTTTTCTTAGGAAAGGTAAATAGTAGTATCACAACCTGATACTTACTCAAAACATGCTTCTTTCCTTGTTATTTTCCCAGTTAACTTGGTAAAGGATCAATGGTGTTCTATAATCTTACTGTTACAGATCACTATTTCAGAACAACAAACAATGAAAGAACACTTGCCATTGCAATTTCAAGTCAGCGTGAATCGTAAACTGCCAATTCTAATACACTTCCCCTAATAAATCAAGTCTCAGAATAAAGAATATTTACTTGTACTCGAAATTCGGCACTGGCGGCGAATCAAAGCTCTCCAAAATCTTCGTTTCGCCGTCTCCTCGAGTTGCCTCTGAATCCTTTTTCTGTCCGCCACCGAACCATCCTCCGAACCACGATTCCGAACCCGCATGTGAAGATTCCAGACTTTCACCCGACGTTTGCGGTGTTGTTAGACCCGGAATCTGGTCCATAGGGTAACCAGGGACGCCGCCCATAGCACCGGCGTCGTCAATCATAATAGGAGCGTTCTGCGGTTGACTAAGCACCTTATTCAGCATGATCCCAGCTCCCTCGATCAGAGCCAATAGAACACCGCCGAACAAAGCCGAGCGGGCGGAGGCGCCGAAGCCCTGACGCATCTGGAGGAAGCCGCCAGTAGCGGCTCCGGCTATGATCGAGTTCCATGGATCTTCCTTCTGGCGGAGGTAAACCATGGAACAATCGAAGGTGGAGAACAACCCACCCCAAACAGCAAAGCTACCGCCAATACGAGGCGCATTCATACGGACGGCTTGAGAACCACCAAGAAGGCGAGCGCTTTTAGGCGAACTGTAAACGCCTTTGAGAAAGTGAAATGCAGAGCCACCAACGGCACCCATACCAAATGCACCGCCGATGTCATCGAGAATCCGATCTGGACAAGGCTCCCGAGAAGTCTCCGGCGTTCCCATGGAAGCTTGATCGGAAGGTTTTGTGGATTGATCAAGCCCAGCGTTTGCTCTTTCCGCGGGTGGGTGCTGTGGGAAATAGGTTTCCTTTCGCTTTGGTTAATGGAGCCGGTCCGGTTCGGGTCAGAACAATCAATCCTTACCCGAAAAGTTCCAACATTAATTATAATACCAGGCTTTCTTATTGATAGCCTATTGGGCTTGAGGTTACCCCAGCCCATGGGCCTTATAAGTCCACTCCACAACAAATAATAATATAATTTTATTGAAAAATAATACAATCAAACATGGCCCACAGACAGACAGCTCATCTCTTGTCTTTTTCTTGCCTCATTGTTCTTATTACCCAATCACTGCAAACCATTTCAATTCCATCCGTTCCGTTTTTTTCAAACTTTTAATATAATATATAATTTTAAGCTATGCTGGAATTAACATTAATGTGATATTGATGAGAATGATTTTATTGATTAATTAATAATTAATAATAATGAATCAATAATAAAATCACATTAATTAATAATTGAGGTGGAAGAATCAAGCAGGATTTGATAAGAGCACTCCGATTCAATAAATAAATAAAAAAAAAAAAAAAAGAGAGAAGAAAAGGCTGTAATAAAAGCGACAGCAGGAAAGCGGAGGGAATTGGAATAATAGATGCGGCATCTTTTTTGTTATTATTTCGTAATTAATTATGGTGACACGGTGGCAAGAGTCATTAAGTTTAAAAAAAAAAAAAAAAAGGAGAGATTATATAAGGTATGGTGGTTGGCTATGAACGCAAGGAGCCGACCATAAGTAACGGTCTCTCACTCGATTTAACCTTCCGTTTTTTGTGAATATTTTTGTGTCATTCTGAAATTGGATTTGTGGTCAAGTGAGGCCCGCCCCGCTTCTTCCTATTATAAATTCTCGACGACTCTCATTTCACTCCTTTTTCCCCTCTCCGTCTCTCTTTCCCTCTCTTTCTGTGTCATCTTCTTTCTCCATTTCTCCCCGTGTTTTTCGTCCATTGAGATCTGATTAATTCGGGAAGACGGAGAAAGGGATGCGCTTTTTTCTTCCTTTCTAGGGTTTCTTTTCTGCCTCGCCCTCCATTGCTTTGCAACTGCGTGTTTCTGCCGTCTGTCCATTGCGGCTTTTTCTTATTTGTTTTGTTTTGTTTTGTTTTGTTTTGTTTTTTTTAATGGACGGAGGGGGAGGAACTTTGCCTTCAATGGATGCTTTTGATTCCTTCCTCTTCTCTCTTAGCAATGCATTTTCTACTCCTCTTGCACTCTTCGTTCAGATCCAGGTTCGTATCTCTTTTTTCAGATCCAGCTCTGTTTCCCTCTTCTCAAAATTAATTAATATATATATATATATATTTTTAAAAATTCTGGGTTTGGCTATTTTGGTTTTTATGCTTTGCGCTCTCTGCTGGTTCTGGGTTACTGAGCCTTAAATGGGAAATTCGCGTTTCTTTCTAACACGTTTTTGAGCTGAGGTTTAGTAAGTTAGTTCTATTCTGGTTTTCAAATTTTCTAGTGGCTGAGTAGCAGTGTTTGTGATAGGAAAAGTTTGAATGTATTTCCATTTCTTTCTTTCTTTCTTTTTTAGTGTTTGTTTAAGCTGGACGTTGCTATGATGTTGAAATTGCGTCCGGATTTGGAATGTGCTTTGTAATTTGAAGATTTTTTTTTTTTTTCGGCTGATTGGACTTTAAGCTCTCAGTTTAAATTTGATGATAGTCACTGAACTTCTTTGATGCCTGATTCTCTCATTCACTGTAATATTATAGATATTTCAACGCGCTGAAGATTTTTCTATCATTTTACAGAAGCCTCATTTCTTTGAATTTATTGTTATAGGGATGCGTTATCTGCCTAGTTCTTGCTTTTGGGTGGGCTTGTGCTGCTTATGTCAGGTACTCCTATAATCTGAACTCTGTATGATCTATACTCCATCCGATGGCATATGAATGTGTAGCACCTGTTTAACTTATAAAGTGTTGTGCTTCCATTCCCCCTGCAGAAATAGAGAAATTAAACGTATAAAGAGGAGAGTTCGAGCTGGCAATAGCTTTGCTTTCATTTGCAATGACATCAGTGAACTCGAGCACTCCAATCAAGTCAATCTACCGAGGGTGACAGTTATTATGCCTTTAAAAGGCTTTGGAGAACATAATTTACACAATTGGAGAAGCCAGGTGAGTTTCTTTCTTTTTCCTTTTCGATGGCAAGTGGGGGATTGATGCTTTTTTATGCATCTGCAAATTAAGGAAAAAACAAATTTTCCTTTCATGTTCGGTCCTTGAATAATTGCCTACTTCAATTATTATATTTTTTATCATATTTATCCTAATAGATAAAAAAAGAGGAAATCAAGTCAAAATTGTATTTGTTGCCACATTTTAAAGAAGCAATGTAACTTAATTTTATGGTTTCAAATGGGAATAAGATCTTACAATTGTATATTTCAAATTATATTATATGTATTTCTACGGATAATTATATTTTGTACCAAAACAAAAAATAGGAATATTCCAGGTGGGGTACCTGACCTTATATATTAGATGATCTGCCCATGACTCGCATATCAGTATATTGCTTGTTTGAGATTTCCTGAAAGTGTTCAAAGTTTGGTACTCTATTCGGAAAGTACATTGTTTTAATTTAGTCCCTTTGCAAATTAAAACTGTTCCTAGGTGTTGTATTGCCTTCTTCTCATTTATCAATGAATTTCCAGGTGACATCCCTTTATGGAGGTCCTTTAGAATTTCTTTTTGTGGTGGAAAGTACGGAGGACCCTGCTTACAATGCTGTATTGCGGTTGCTATCTGATCATAGGGTTTGTATGAATGCATTCTCTTTCTCCAATTTTTCCATTCATAGTTCTTGTTTTCACTTATCATGGTTCACGTAAAGCCTAGGGATCAACAGTTTGCAGAACTTTTTTTCATTATCCCCTCGCTTGGTATTTATGTATGTTTCTTTTTTTTCTTCTTCTTTTTCTTAAAGGATGATGTGGATGCTAAAATTCTTGTGGCTGGGCTAGCAACAACTTGCAGCCAAAAAATTCACAATCAATTGGTATGTGATAAATTGCTGTTAATCTTGTTTTAGTACTTTCTGTCACAAATGCTGGGTTGGAGGATTTGGATATGATAATGTAAGTTCCATATGAAAGATGGAGGAATCGTAGGGAATTGGTTTGGCAGAAGCCTTTATTGCAGGGATGCAATGTATTAGTTACGAGAGAGTTCTAGATCTCTTGCCTGTCGAACATTCTACTAGTATTCATGGTATACTGAAGTTAATTGTTTCTAGTTGAACATATTTGGCAAACTAATTTGAAAACAGTTTTTCACTTTTGTTTTCAAAACTATTCTAGTGCCACTATACATTCAAGTTTGTATTCACAAGGTTGAAGTTTTAGTGGCAAGTGTTGATAAGAAGTTTAGGACACCGATCTACTTCCCACAAGTGGTAGAAGGAAGATATCAGGGAATGATAATGTTGAATTTTACAGATGAGAGAAGTAAGGTGGATGGCTTGGTTAGGACCTTTAGAAGGATGAAATTTATGTGGAGAGACACACAGGCTCTTGGATGTAAACGGTTTGGTTCTTTTGGCCATAAACGGTTATTTTTGGCTTGTTGCCCAGTGGAGTTAATTTGGAATAGTAAAAGGGGGAAGGGAAAGCTATTTGAGGGGATGCAAGTTATTGGTAGAGCTGGAGGGAGTGTCTATGGTTCTTGAGAAAATTATAACGTCAGGAATGTTTTGTACTTTTCCTTCCTCTTAACTAGTAGGCTGTACGCCGAACAAAAAAACACTCTAGTATGCTGTTTTGTTTTGTTTTATTACCAATTTTGCTATTTTTGTTCATTCTTTGTATGAGAGGATATAATAATATATACTTATTAACATTGAGAAACTAATGCCTTTCTGCAGGTTGGGGTGGAGGAAATGCATAAAGATACCAAATATGTGTTATTTTTGGATGATGATGTTAGGTTACATCCTGGAACAATTGGAGCCCTCACAGCTGAAATGGAAAAAAATCCTGATGTATGTTACTTACTATCCATAATTTCTTGCGTGCATTTTCATATTTGGACTACATATTGCTTTTATAACTCAATTTTATGTATGTAGATATTTATCCAAACTGGATACCCTCTTGATTTACCTTCGGGGAGTTTAGGGAGTTATTGCATCTATGAGTATCATATGGTATGATATGATATATTTTACACTTTCTAGAAGAAGAGAAATTCTTTTATGTGGAATTCCTTGGTCTGAAGTCTGGAAAAAAAAATTTCTTACTTTTATGTGTCGACGTCAACTTTACAGCCTTGTTCAATGGGCTTTGCTACTGGTGGTAAAACATTTTTTCTTTGGGGAGGTTGCATGATGGTAAGTAGATTCTACATCTTTGTAACTACTGTATGTGTAAGATATCAAGCTATCTTAACTTCATTCGACTTGTTACAGATGCATGCTGATGATTTTAGATATGACCGTTATGGAGTGGTCTCTGGACTTCGAGATGGTGGATACTCAGACGATATGACTCTAGCGGCTATAGCAGGTAACATACAGGCCATTCATCCTTATCAATAAATAAGGATATGTAGGAGGGGTGCTCTATAGCTTTTAGTGAAATAGAAGCACAATCTAATTAATCAATTCAAATATACATTTGAGTCCTCAAGTTTGGAATTCTATTTGTGGTACACAATACGACGTCTTGGTGGATTTCTTACATACAAGATTCTTTTGCAACCACAGCCTCTTAATGATTATTAAAAGATTGGAAGGCTCTCATGGTTTCTTCGTGGGTGTCTCCTTGACCTCAACCCTTAGGCTGTCTTTGCTTCTATAGGAATATATTGACCTCGTCTCTCATAAATAATAAGAATAATAATAAATTCAATTAGCTTTCTATATTAGGTATCTCATGGCTGCTTTTCCGTTGCTACATGCTCTGTTTCTTTTCAGGTGCTCATAAGAGGCTTATTACATCACCTCCTGTTGCAATTTTTCCTCATCCTCTTGCAAGTGATCTAAACTTGGGAAGGTCTGATATCTATATTGACAAATAGTCTGACAATTTTGTTTATTCACTTCCATGTTTTTGACCTCTTTGACATGGTAGGTATTGGAATTACTTGAGGAAACAAACATTTGTTTTGGAATCATACATATCACATGTTAACAAGATAATGAACCGAGCATTATTTACTTCTCACTGCTATCTGTCGTGGGGGTTTGTGGCACCATACTTTATGTCTATGATCCACGTTGCCGCAGCACTACGGTTCTATACTAAAGGGTACTCACTCGAGGAAGCAGGTGTTAGTTCTGTGGGTGAGCACACTGCTTTCCATTTTAGTTAGACTATCAGCATTACTTCATACCAAAACTGTTACTTGAGATCCTTGTTTGGGTTACATTTCATGCTTACTTTGCTCAATGCTGAATGCCAATATGGTGAACTGATGGTAGGGCTTCCAAAGTGAAGTCGGAATGATAAGAGGATGTTTAGGGCATTAAGTATCCAATATATAATTACTGATTATTGGTGGTTATTGATGTAGTTATTTATGGTCTATATAAAATGGAAGCTTGAGTTGTTGAGAAAGTGTACTTGTAAATATAATACGCGCCTCAAATCTTTTTCTAAGAATGCTTGAGTTGGAGCTTTGTTTGTCTTGTGCAGTTTTCAGGTTGCCATGCACAGCTAACTATTTTTTTTGTTATTTCATAGGGATGTCAATGGTCTGCAGTCTTGCTGCATGCACCGTTATAGAACTCTTCTCAATGTGGAACTTGACACGGGTAGAAGTTCACTTATGCAACATTCTGTCCCCTGAGGCTCCCCAGCTCTCTCTTGCTTCCTACAACTGGGGATTGGTAAGCGTTTATAGCCTGTTATTTGGAGGATAGGATGATATGCTTGGTAGACACAATTCACCTGGTTGCTTGATTTTACATCTTAAGATTGAATTGATAATGTCATGCATGGGTTTTCATCTTGGTGTATAATATTTTGACGTTCTAATTCGTCTTGAAGTTGCAGTTGAATTATTATATCATGACATCTTTTGATTAGATCATAAAGCTATTAATTTAACATCATGATTAGTAAATATGCCATCTTTTTGTCGCAGGTATTCATTGCAATCTTGGTGGACAACTTTTTGTACACTATCTCTGCAATACGTTCTCATTTTTCTCAATCAATCAACTGGTCTGGCATTCGATATTACTTGAAAGATGGGAAGATAAACAAGGTAACTTGGCTAAGGCCTTATAGTTATAATATTTTATTTCAATGAACTGATGCTTAGTAAAATTGTCAAGAAATTTGCATGAACTCTAGAGGCTGTAAATGAACTGGTTTTTGGTAGGCAAGAAAATTCTGGCTGTAAATGATAGAGTAGTTTAATGGCCTGAGTAATAAAAGTATAGTCAGCCAGTTATGATTACTGGATGAATAGTTGTTTTCATTCTCTGCAGATTGAAAGAAGTATACCAAAAGTTGATATGGGTCCAATTTATACGGACTTGGGAGGGAAGCATTTGTATGGAAAGAAAGGAATGGCTCCAAAGGTATCATTCCTGGGCTCCTTGGCCAAAACTTTGGCACAGTGGCGTCAACCTAAGAAATTCGATAGCTAGGATAGAGTTGTTCACAAGAACTGCTAATTATTGATGATATGATGTGTTCCCATTTGGGGATCTCATGGGGAAGGGCCAATAGAGCAATATAGGTGAAAGAGTGGATTGAATAGCTTAGATTCTTTGGGACTACTCTGCCGCTCCATTTGTTGATTGTTCATTATTATATAGAGTTCTAGGCACTTCCTCTCATTCTTTTCTTTATTCCCGTTTCATCCATTTTATTCCCACCTCGCCAGGGTTTGATTAGGTAATTGGCAGTGATTTTTTTTCCCCCATGTGATTCTTGTAATTTCAATTATACGACCTTGTGATTTCCCCTCTTGTTTGCTATTTGAAATGATGTAACTCTGGTAGTGACTGTCTAGTGATTATTGTGTACCTCCTTGTGCCCTTGGTATTTATGATATTGTATTAAGTATTTAAGTAATACGAAGTTGCAATATTGTTTGACTTTATACTATATGAATAATACTATAGCTACTATTGGAAGTATATAGGTGACAAAGTTTGGAGGTAATTTTTTTTTGCCTAATTTAAAGTTCTTGTTGGCTTTTGAATTGTGGGTACTAGACTAAAAGCAATCACTACAAATCAACTTGACGTTAGCTATTTGATTTCTACTGTTATTCTGAGTTTGAATTTAATATATTCTTTTTTTTTTATCAAAGTCTATTCCTATCTCAGAAGATTTTCTGTGTCTTAACGCCTGTGATTGAAGGTATCAGACGTGAAAATAGCCTGTAAAGCTCTCATTATTCTCCACTGAAAGTCACTTTCTCTTCCTGCAAAAGTTATTCATCAAGAATAGAATAAAGTTACCCTGTAAGGATCAATTACACAACTTCTTCCAGGGCCAATCTTTGGATTTCATTTATCTATTAGATTCCTTTATTATGATATAATCACACGTAAAGAACACAGTTCCATTGTAAGAAAACTTAAGCAATTCCTTCTGCAATTAGCCTGAACTATAGGCTATAAGCTACCAAAATGGGCTGTTTCAGCTTTCGCCCCTCCAAATCTCCACCCCCCATGAAAGTCTCGCACCCCATCCAAGCTCCTCCTCAGGAAAACTCTGAACCCAAAAGGTTCAAACAAGAAGTCCTTTTACAGATACCAGGATGCAGAGCTCATCTGATGGATGGAGGAGAAGCTTTAGAACTCGCCAATGGAGAATTTAAAGTCGAAAGAATCATGGAGGACGACGTGTCTCTCGCTACGATCATAAAAGTCGGCGAGGATCTTCAGTGGCCTCTGACGAAAGATGAGCCTGTAGTGAAGCTTAACTCTTTGAACTATCTGTTTTCATTGCCAATGAAAGATGGAGATCCTCTCAGCTATGGGGTGACATTTCTGGAGCAGTATAGCAGCAATTTGAGCTTGCTGGACTTGTTTTTGAAGGACAATTCTTGCTTCTCTTCCTCGTCGTGTAATGCAGACAACAAGAGCAACATTAATTGGAAGGAGTATGCGCCGAAGATTGATGATTACAATAACATGTTGGCCAAGGCAATTGCTGAAGGCACTGGCCAGATCGTGCAGGGGATTTTCAAATGCAGCAACAGTTATGCCAATCAGGTATTATCAACAATATGAATAACCCAGATTCAGATTGTTTCCTGTGCTAAGAAAAATTGATCAAATTATCAGGTAAACAAGGGAGGCGAAATGATTCTAAACAGTCCTCAAGCTGCTGCAGGTGCAGAAAGATCAGGAAGTTCTAGTGCCACCCAAACCAACAAAACTGCAATCAACAGAAGCTTGAAACGGTAAGTGTCATCCTGAGAACAAATCAAATCTCAGATCTTATTTGAATGTTATACTGTGAGATCCCATCGGTTGGAGAGGAGAACAAAGCATTCTTTATAAGGATGTAGAAACCTCTCCCTAGTAGACATGTTTTAAAACCAAAAGACTGACCGCGATTGATAACGAGTCAAAGCGGATAATATTTATTAGTGGTAGGCTTGGGTTGTTTCAAATGGCATCAGAGTCAGACACCGGGAAGTGTGCCAACGAATAGGAGAACGAAGCATTACTTTTAAAGGTGTGGAAACCTCTCCCTAATAGACGTGTTTTAAGATCGTGAGGCTGACAACGATATGTAATCGGCCAAAGCGGGCAATATTTGATAGTGGTGGGCTTGAATTGTTACATATATATCATGGTTGTCTGATAAGATTCCTGTGGCATGTTCTTAATGAATGATATAGAGTAAGAAATCTGTCAAAGACGACAGAGAAGCTGAGCAAATCCATGCTAGACATGGTTGGGGTAGCCTCAGGATCAGTAATGGGTCCTGTAATGAAATCCCAAGCAGGAAGGGCGTTCTTTTCCATGGTTCCGGGGCAGGTCCTGTTGGCATCATTAGACGCAGTCAGTAAGTGCCAAAACCAAACATGTTATACATTTGAGTTTTCCAAAGATAAAAAGTTGCAGAAGAAGAAGATGACAATGAAAAATGTGGATGAATTGCAGACAAGATTCTGGACGCAGCAGAAGCAGCTGAAAAGCAAGCACTTTTGGCGACCACGACTGCCACAACAAGAATGGTGTCAAACAGATTTGGGGAAAGTGCAGGGGAGGCAACTGGGGATGTGCTTGCCACTGCAGGGCACTGTGCTAACACTGCCTGGAATGTGTTCAAGATTCGGAAAGCCATTAATCCAGCTTCCTCTGTCTCTGCTGGAGCTCTCAGGAATGCTGCAAAAACTAGAAGCTTTTAGTCACGAAACCAACAATTATCGTTTCTATCTCATTTTCATTTACAAGTATGTTTTAGTTTCTTTTCGATGGATATGGTGATTATAAAAGTCATGACGTATGAACTAACCACTTTAGATCAGTCTAGTAGCCACTACGGGTCAATGTAAATAATAAACAATTTCAAAGAAATGGATTGAAGCTATGGTGATCACTTATCTAGGGTTTGAGGATTCTAAATTTCATATTATTTTGAAAATAATAATAATAAAATAATCTTTTAAAAATAATATAAGTATATGAACAAAAAGAGATTTTAGGTAAAGCAGTAAGAAAGTTTAAAAAAATCTAATAATCTAAAAATCCCGATCAACTCTACTCTACTCAACTCGAATAGTTTAGATTGGGATATAAACTTTTTAGATTAGGTTGAATTCGAATAAATGAAAATTAAATTTTACGATGAGTTGGTTCACGAGTTTTCTTTCAACTAGATTGGGTTGAAACCGAAACAACTAGAATTTATTAGGCATTTTAAAAGAATATATATATAATTTTATTTATTTTCATAATTATTTTTTAATTATTCAAAAAGTAATTTTTTAAAATATAATTTGAAATTGAGTGGTAAATGACATGTTTTACAAATAAATATTATATTTTAATTAAAAAACAAAATTTTGAAAAAAACTATCCCAACCTACTCGAGGACACTTGAAACAGCTTGGCCTAACAGGAGCAAAATTCCAGTAGTGGAGGTCTGTGCTAAAGATTGAGCGACGAGGCTTTCCTCCTGGTCAAGTCTCTTGTAGCAGACACAGTGTATCTATTAGTTCAAGCCACTTCAGCTGTGACCATAGCAGAGATCTTTATTTTGGTTAATCTTTTGTCTTAAATATGATTTATTCCTAAACCATCGTCACTTTGTGGTTTTCTTAATTATTAGAGAAAAGAAACATATATTTGATTTAGAGTATTATTATAGAAAAGAAAATAGATGAATGGGTACGAGGCAGAACAGGGGGAAAGAGGGGTGCAATTCTCGGGAGGGACAGAAACAGAGAGTAGCAATAGCGAGGGCCATAACTCGAAACCCAGCAATTGTGTTGCTGGACGAGGCAACCAGCGCTCTGGATCTTATGATGGTGGGAAGGACACCATCAAGAACTCAAAATTCAAAGGGGATTCAGCAAGCATCCTATGCACGACTCGAAAAGAGTTCTTTCTTTAATCTTGCTAACCTCCAATTTCAGTCCTAACCCTCTACAGTTTCTAAGCCATAAATTTTCCCAACTTTTGTTTAGAACGAGTTGGTTAGGTCTAACGGCATAAACCCACCCGATATTGTCCTCTTTCAACTTTCCTTCAAGATTCTTAAAACGCTGCTAGAGAGAGAGATGGACTTTCTAGTTTGGACTTCCCTTCAACCTTCTTAAATAGCATCGGTTAGAGGACTTTCCCTTTTGCACTTCTCTTCAAGGAGGTGGACTTTCCCTTTTAGACTTCCCTTCAACGTTGTTCATCAACGCGTCTACTAAGAAGATGTTTCCACACCTCTATAAAGCAATGTGGGATCTTACAATCCACCCCCTTCAAGGCCCAACATCCTTGCTGGCACTCGTTCCCTTCTCCAATCGATGTGAGACCCTCAGGAGCCCAGCGTCCTTGCTGGCACACCGCTTCGTGTCTACTTCCCTTCTAAGGCTTAGCCTCCTCGCTAACACATCGTATAGTGTCTAGCTCTGATACCATTTGTGATGATCCAAGCCTGCTGCTAGCAAATATTGAACCTTCTTTTTTGGGTTTCCCTTCAAAGTTTTTAAAATGCTAGAGAGAGGTTTCCACACCCTTATAAATTATGATTTGTTCTTCTCTCCCTAACTGAAGTGAGATCTCGCATCAGGAGTCTGAATGCAATCCAATTCAAAGCACATGGTCTCGAAATATATTGCTACTATGCACGTGAAAGCGGATGAAAGTGCAAAATCAAGAGGCTAGAGGCGGGCACATACAGAGCATTACACAGGAAATTTTATTAATGTTGGTATGGTCAAAGATCTAATATGGTTCTACTCCAAGCATATTTTCTTTATCTTGATCTTCAAGGACTTGTGTCCTAGATACATTCTCTACTATAGGACTCTCGGAAGAAAATAAAAGAACAGAAAAATCAATTCAAATTGATAGGAAATTTTAGAGAGAGAAAAAATTCTCTCCATGACCAAGCAAAGCAGATTTTTCAATTTTGTTAGTGGGCTCTGTACACGTTTTTTGATGCAGAGTGGTGAGAACAGTGACCAAAACTAATATGGTATGTTATCTATTAGTTATGGAAGAAAACAGGGTGGAGCTATTAGAACCTTGGCTTCCAGATATCACGATTTTGGAAGAACGATGAGAATCTCCTGCATTTTCTGTCATTACCTCTGTGGGTTTGCTTTCCTTGCTTTCAGATCGATGACAATAACAGAAATGTTATCGGAACTGTTTCTTCCATAGGCCATTTCAGTGAGATTATTAGCCACAATCTGTGCCGGAGGTGTGTCATCAGGTGTCGACGACCTGCGGAGCCTCCTAAGAAGATGGCAAGCGACCTGCCCAACCTCTTCATTTGTCATTACGTCCCAAAGCCCATCGCTTGCCAGAACCAAACATTCATCCTCGTCGCTCCTCGTTGTGAAACTAATTTCCGGCACTGGAATTATCCATGGCCGAAGATACCGATCTCCTGAACATTCATACACATAAAGCCATTTGTCAAGCTTAGAGCAAAACCCACATGCAAGTGT